GACGGCACTTAACAACAACAATGGTTTGAGCCCATCAGTCCCTCCACGGGAGAAAGAAGAGGTTTTCTACTTTCTTAAAGATTTATAAGCTTTGAAATAGTAGGGTCCTTAGGAGTCAGAACTGACTTGGTGACACAGAGCCACCACCATCATTGTGACTGAATTTTTATCATTTAAAGCAAAATTTACTATTGGATTCGTTAGTTGGCTGTTGACCAGTCCCTTGTGTACCAGATGAGAATTGTACTTTGATGGTTCTATTTGTCAAATAAGATTTGGCAAGACAGAAATCCAGCTAACAGTTAAAGGTCACCCAGTGAAGGCCATGATCTCATGTTTGGTAAGGTGGAGGGCCAGAGAAAGAGAGGAAGACCCCCAACAAGATGGAATTGCCAAGTGGAAGCATCCATGGACTCAAGCGTGGCAATAGCAGTGAGGTTGGCCCAAGATCAGGCAGTGTTTCGTTCTGTAAGGTCGCTGAGTCGGTACTGACTCGATGGCACCTAACAACAACAACAACAGTGAAGGCCATATGAGCACAACCGTCCTTGATTCCAACATCTCAAAATCCCCTAAATGACATGTGCTCTAAGGAAAATGAACTAATTCTCAAGAAGCTCTGGTAGCATAGTGGTTATGAATCAGGCTGCTAACCTTAGGGTCAGCAGTTCAAAACTACCAGCGGTTCCACAGGAGAAAGACGAGGTTTTCTGCTCCCGTAAAGATTTACAGCCTCAGAAACCCAGTATACAGACAGGGTCACTACGAGTTGGAACCGACTCCACGGCACATAATCACCACCAAGAACACCGAACAGGAATAACTTTACAGGTCAACTACTACAATTTGCCCGCCTACTCTCTTACTGTAGACACGTTCCCTGGGGTAATAAAAAGAGATTCAGTCAATGTTCAATAAACCTAATTTTTTTTTTTTTTTAAACAAGTGTTTCTCAATCAAAAACAAACTCAATGCCACTGATTCAACTCCTACTCACAGCGACCTTGTAAGGCAGAGTGGAACTATGCCAAAAGATTCCTAAGGCTAGAATCTTTAGGGAAGTAGAATTCCACATCTTTCGTCTATGAAGCTGCTAGTAGGTTCAAACTGCTGACCTTCTGATTAGCAGTTGAGTGTTTTAACCACTGTGCCATCAAGTCTCGTAAGAGGTCTCTTATATAAGCCAAAAATATCTACTAGTACTTGATTTGCTCTCTGAAGGTACAGGACACATTTGATACATAAATGATTATTCTTCTTAAATCTTCATGTAAGATTTATAGTTCATAAAATTATAGGAATAACCACCCCACCTCATCTCCATTCCCAAGTTATATGACACAGTGACGTAACTAACGTGAATCGTGACTCAGAATTCATTGTACCAAGTTGGTGAAGGCACTTTCATAGCATATTCTTACAGACTATCATGCAAGCATGCCAACTAGTGAAAAGTAACAGCCTGTGGGGGCCTTTTCCAAATAGAAAATGTAACTGAATCAGATTACTAGAGAATTAGGGTTGTACATAAAAAAACTTTGCTTTTTTGGAGAAGTCAACACCTCCTTTTACCCAACTCACCTCGATCCTAACAACAAAAAACAACTACGGTAACTTAAAAAAACCTTAACAAAAGGTAGCAATAACCTTAACATATATCTCAACCAAGAGATCCTTTCTCAATAAAACAGAACTGGTTTAACCAGATACCAAACACCTGTGCTGAAATGGAAATGAACCAATGAATTTCTCCCTCTCTTTTTGGGTAAGAGTCAACAAGCCTATTTAGTGGAGCGATACTTCAGCAACAATCATCTAACGCCATGCCACCATCACTCCAACAGTTAGTGGCATATAACCCTGTGACCAGAAAAATTAGATGGTACATAGCTACCCATACCAACTGCCCTGAAAGAGATCACATGAGAAGGTCCTGGATAGAATGGAAGAAAATGTGGAATAAAGCTCAAAACTATAAAAAAGACCAGGGT